TCATCCTCTGCATTCTCGGGGTAAAACTATTTTTTTAACTCTCTTTTGAAGTCATCAAAGGTGGATATGATGTACTTGTCTTTCTTTATATCTCCACGTCTTCTTCTCCACCACAACATAGCGATGTCTGACAGATTAAAAGCTGTTAATTGTATTCTCGCATCTTCATCTGTAATCCCCATAGCTCCGAAATATTTTTCAAGTTCGCATAAGAAGTTATCCACTTCCTTTGCGTTGCGAGCTCCTCCAAAACTCTTTGGTTTTGGAACTTCAATCCTTTTAGCTTCAAATGTGTGATAGTTGGTGGGTGTAACTAGTGCCCTCTTGCATAGCGAGATGTCTCCACGTTTTTTCTTCAAACTAGCACGTACGCTATTCATCTCTTCTTCATGGGCTCTTCGTGCCTCGTAGAGCTTCTCCATCAAGTCCTCCCGCATCCATTTGATTCATTAGTGACTCCTCTAGTTGGAGCACCATACCTTTGGTCGTTAAATGAATGGTGATGTTCTCCTCCTCGAGTGCATCAACTTTTTGGCCAAGATCCTCTATCTGAGCCCATGGCATTCATTGTCTCCTCCACCCAAGCAAGGCACAGAACAAAGCCGTGCACGCTCTCCTTGGACACCTCATGTGGTTTAGATGCAGCTTGATCTTGTTGCGCCTGACGACCTCGCTCTTGTTGAGATGATTCCACATTAGTGGCTTCAAACTCCATTACGTGCTCTCTAATACTTTTTGTCCTACCTTCAAACTAAGACTCCATCGCATCAAAGGAAAGCCAATGCTTATCCCCTAAAACAACATTATTTCACAGTTATAAAAAGCGGATGCCGACCTCCAGTCCGCAATGTCGTGTTTAAAGGTGCTTCACCTAACAACGAAGCACCCTCAAACGTAGCCCTTGCTTGAAGAGGCATGGTCTTTTGAGAGAAAGCCCGTTTGAAAACCATGTACCAAGTAGTCCGTTTGAATACAAAATTTTTGTCGTATAGAAATAAGAGAGAAGTGGAAACAAACAAGAGAGTAGAAAGATATTGTGAAACATCATTTCAAAAGTGATGGTTGGATTTTGGCCAAAGTAGACGTCTTGGTGAAGGTTCCCATCCAAACGAGGGTTATTTGTTCTCTCAGCTTCATCTACGCCGCAATGGAGCCGAAACACTTCCCTAAATAAGGCCTTAATTTAAGAGAGATAAAATATATAATTATATAAAAAATAAGGCATTTGCATACATTGCACAAAATTTTAATGTATTTTCATTATCCCATGTCCAAACTTTCATATTTACATGCATACCACTCAAATTAAGGTATTTACAATACATAAAAATTAAATTTTTAAATATTAAAATAGTTTGAAACCACTTATCACACAACTTATTTCATTAAGAATAATCAATACCAATAGATGATCACTCCACCTAAATGCATAAATATTCATTTACAAGCATATAATATTTATGTTCCATAAAGGTCTCATCAACCATAAGAAATTATATTTTTATATATGTACGTATGTGTACGTATGGGTGTATAATTGTCTTGCTACAATGCCCTAAAACCAATAAATGTAACACCAATCTTAAGAAAGTCTAATGATTTATTATAGAGCATTTACTCTATGAACTCTTTGGTCCAACTAATCAATAATCAGAAAGGCTTAATTCCAACAATACTTTAAACAAGTCAAGTCGAGCTCAAGCCATTCTCGACTTGAGCTTGAGCTTAATTAATTTTATCATGTTCGAGCTCGAGCACGCGTCTACGAGTTCGAGCCAGTTCAACCCCGCTTTTTTTATTATAAAAGAGAGAAAATAATATTAATTTAAGATGATATTATAATAAAATGATAAATATAATGAGCAATTATGATAGAAATAATAAAAAAAACAATTAATATAAAATACAAAATATATATTTTAAACATTTTTAACACTTTAAGGATAAATTTTTCAAATTTAATTTATTTTGAATATGTTTTATATTATTATTTTCTTAAACGAACCGGCTCACGAGCTAATGTGTTGAGTTGGTCATCGAGCTCAATTCACAGGCCACTTATCGAGTCAAGTTCGAGCCGGCTCACTAGTCGGTTGACTCACTTATATCCCTATATAATATAATAGATTTATAATGATGTTATTATGCATATTAGATTTGACAAAAGTATTTAAAAAGCATATGGTGAATCTTTAAAAAATTATCATTTGCATTTCATAAAATAATTATCTTAATAAATAGCTTATTAGTAGTATAATAACCTGCTAATTAATTATCTTTACATTAATGGATTGTGTTGTATTATAGCTTAAAGGCATGAAAAGTAGGGGTGTAAACAAGCCAAGCTCAGCTCGTGTTCGGCTCGTTTATATTTCGAGCTCAAAAAGTGTGCTCGTGTTCGGCTCGTTTGCTTAACGAGCCAAACATGAGCTGTTCACGAACAAAGGGTCATTTTGACAACCCTAATCACGTTCATAAGACAATAAAGGTTCGAGCAAGGTTTAAAAATTATTATTTATATTAAAACATCATTTGAATATAATTTAATAATTTTATTCTATTTTCTTAATCAATATTTTAATTGATTATAAATCTTTGTAGCCTTGTAGTCAATTAGATTTTTTTAAAATACTACTTTATATATATATATATAGTATTTCGAGCCAAAACGAGCCGAACACGAACGAACACATCTTAGTTCGTGTTCGGCTCGTTAACTTATCGAACGAAATTAACGAGCCGAACACAAGCTGTTCGCGAACAACGAGCCGTTTTGACAACCCTAATGAAAAGTAATGAAATAATCATAATGAGTTTGCATAAATATTAATGCAATAGTTTTATAAATTGATAATTAAAATATGCTCTAACATTAATATTGTATATATACTATATTTATATTTTAGTAGTTAAAAAACTTAAATATGCAAGGAATAATTAGTTTATATATGAAATAATAGATAAAATTCTTAATATTTTCTTTTTTTACTATTATTAAAGAATATAATTTCATATATATAAGAAATTATAAGTTAGAAATTTATGCTTAATGTTTTATATAAGAATTTTAATATTATTGCTTATCTTCATAATATTTGAAAATATATAACTAATTATTTGTTAATATGCCTTATTAATATGACAAATATTAATATAGAGATATCATGATTCCATTAAAAATGAAACTATTGTTATGCACTCTTAAAGCTATGAATTGTATACATGTTACAATTAGTTTTCTCTTAATTATTTTAATTAACATGTCAGTGAATGAAAATTACAAGCATAGGACTTGCAAGCCTTCTCCACATTATGTGCTATTATCTAAGTGTTCATGAAAAAAAAAATTCTTACATGTACAATTTATGGAAGTACTTAATAGGCAAAATGTTACTACAATTATCCATTCTTTTTTTTTATATTAATTTAGCATAATTTTAAATTTGTTATCAATAGATATTCTAAGGATTTGCTATAAATGTGCGCCCTTGTGTGGTAAATTGGTATGCAATTACGTTGTCAGTCGTAAGACCTCTCTAACCTGAGTTCAAACCCTATGGGAACGGAAAACACATATAGGTTCACAAACATGAATGACACGAATCTCATGATAAAATTTTGAGCAACAAACTTTCAAATTTTGATAAAAGAATCAAAAGATCATTAATGAGTCAAACTTCACCGAACTTTAGTCAAAATGGCTGGCCTGACGAGACGATCTTAATGACATCGACATTGGTCCAATCTGAGATAGACCGAGCCCATATCAAGCAAAAAAATAACTTTTGAAAGCATCCCATACATAATTGGAAGGTCAAACATGTGTCAAATATGATATGCTTATAATTAAATCAAGCGTATCGACGAGACGAATCCAACGAGCCTAAGATCACTTAATTCTGACATCATTAACGTAGTCAAACATCCATTAAATGTCGTCTAAACAAATGAAACTCTCTCGACTGTTCGACCAAGAGTGTTTTGGATTCATATATTATTTGTAATTTAAACTCTATAAATTTAACTTCGAGCCCCTCATTAGAGGGGACAGAGAGACCCAGAGCCAGAGAGAGCAACCTGCATAAGAGGGTGTTGGGGCTCAACCTCCTACGTCGAGGTCTCCAACCACTGCCGCCTTCAAGCCATCCCCGCCTTCTTCCGCAGCAATTCGATCGTCGTCATCTTTGGCCACTTCCCCTCTTTACGTTGTGACCTTCTTATCACCGCCTCCGTCCCCTCGTCGCGGCCATCCTTCTATAGTCATCGCTCCCACCTCAAGCAATTGCCGCCTTCCGACCGTTGTCGTAGCCTTCTCAGGCCGCCACTGTTGCCCGCTCCCTACCAAAGTTAATCCGGTTGCAAACATTATAATCCGAAAAATTATGTGATACGTTCCATCCCGTGGATCAAGAGATTGCACCTCCAACTCGTTATAAAATTTCGACTGAACAAAGTCACATGATTTTTCCCTTTTTAGATTTTCCACAAAAACTTATGTTGTTGTCACCGTTTACTTCTATCTAAGTGAATGCTGGATTACCATACCATGCTAAGACAATACTCCTTTACCGCCACAAATCTCCTAGCACACATCAGTCATATAATAGAGAAAAAATTAAAGAGAAATTTACAAACATACCACGCAATTCTTATGCATTGACATAAGATACCTAAAGTTTGACATTAACATTTATAACATTGGTATAAAAAATATATGCATTAAAGTGTGTATTTCATTTTAAAAAGTTAATGGTAGTTGTATTTTTTTTTTAATTTTTTTTTTTTTTTGGTGGTGATGTCAAAGATTTGAGTGTTAGATACGTTCATATGATAGTTCAGGTGGGCTAAAATTTATCAGATGACGAACAGAAAAATCAACTCTATGCAAAATAAGAGCTCGAGTTAAAAAAAAAAACAGATAAAAGGCAAATCAGAATGACAGATAAAAGGCAAATCAGAATGAGGCAAATCAGAATGATATTTTCAATCCCAATTAACTGCAACATCGAAAAATGGGACAATAATCAGAAGACCAAATGGAATGAATTTTATCGTTAGTTTAAAGGAAACAATTCACATTGCCAAATGCAAGCAGCATAGTTCACTGATACTATAAAAACCTGGAACAAGCTACAAATTCAACAGACAGGTTAGACTACAATATTGGAAAAAATAACTACAGGGTCGGCTATGTCAGCAACAGTAATTTATTTTATGATGCAGAACCGCTTCTGTTTTTCACCTAGAAAAAAAGAATAAAACATATAAACTAATCAATATTAATTTTCTAATACCTCTTGTATAAAGACTTACTCAAAGACAATTACTAAAAATAACGAGAAAAATGTCAAAATAATTCGATTTTATGCAGCGAGTCATTTTCAATTTAAAGAGACCCTTTTAATATGGATTAAAATACTCGATAACGAGCATTATTTTAAACCACATTAAAAGAATTTGGGAACTAATTTGAAATTCTTAATAGACAATGGGACTAAAATGATCTCATGTAAATAGTCTTGAAAGAACTCACTGGATATATCAAGTTGGTGCAGTCTACCAAACGGTCATCATTTTTTCTGCACAAAGCTGTAAGAAGATAAAAAGTCGGCAAACACGAAGTTCTCTCTCAATAATATTGTATATATGAAGTTCATGCAGAAGTATCAATGATATCGCCACTACAGAACCTCCATGAACCATCATCCTGTTTTTTTAACATATATTGGACTTTGTATGTACTGCAGTAAGGTATTCAACAAGTATAAATTATCAGACATTTCAGAAAAAAGGAGGAAATGTAGTAAGATGGCTGCAGAAGGTACCTGTAATAGCTTGGTTTTTTGGGCTGATAATCATTTACAAGCTCAGCAGCTTCTTCTACCAATGCCTCAACTTCAGCAACCTCATCACTAAACTCATCTAGTATTACGTCAGCCCTAAGAATAGACAATTTGAGCAAAACAAACCTCCAAAAGCATGCTCCATTTTTGGCTGAAGATGCTAAATCCTGCCACTGCCCTTGAAAAATAGCAGAGGTGAAGAAAAACTACAGAGAAAATAGGAGCAAGCAAAAATAGAGGTGTAAATGTGTCGAGTTGAGATCGAGCTCGAGCCACCCTCAGCTTCAACATGAGCTTGATTAATTAATCAAGTTTGAGATCGATCTAAAACTCATGGACTTCGAGACGGCTTATTTATTATAAGAGAAAAAAATATTTAATTTAAGCTAAGTATTAATGGGTATTTGGATATAAATAATAAAAAATCACTTAATAAAAGATATAAAATATGAAATATCTTTTTAAAAATATTTTAAATAATAAAATGATAAAATCTTGAAAATTAGTATATTCTAAGTATATTTTATATTAATATTTTTTTTTTAAAACAAACCCACTCATGAGCTAACAGGTTGAATTGGAGATTAAGCTCGGCTTGTCACTCATCGAGCTCAACACAAGAGCCACTTATCGAACCAAGCTCAAGCCAGCTCACAAGCTGAGTCAGCTTGGCTCACTAACTCTCCTAAAGCAAAATCAAAGGATGCCAGATCAACCAAGCGTAGTGGAACACCTACCTTCAACAGCATTGATTCAGAAAGAATCTCAGACAGGCTATCTATTTGATGATCAGGGCCCAATGCCTTAGCTTTGATATCTTGCCATTGTTTCACCAGTCTTTCTGCTTCTTCGGACGGCATATGCCTTCTGTGTGCAGCATTTCCAGCAACAGCTGATGCCATAGTTAAAGATGAAAGGTTATCAATAAGCAAAGAATTTTGTATTTTTCTTCTATCTGCTGGATTTCTATAGTAATGTTTGAAAAGTTCCATCAGATATTTAAACTGACTGAAAATACTCTTATTCACACCAGGCGTGTAGCCAAATGTCCACATGCAGGCATTGCTGTTCATCATCGATTGATTAGGCTGCAATGGATGTGAGATTCTGTGCTGAGTCAACTCAGTGCTTAGCATCTTTAGTACACCGATGATGACACAGCCAACAAAAGTGGTGCATGCTATCCTTCCGAGAAGATCACCAGTAAGGCTCCAGCTTTCCCAAAATTTAGAATTCTGGAGACTAAGGTTTCTCTTCAATGGAGAATTTGATGTATTGGTGGTCATACTGGTAACCTTTTTCACGCTTGATTGGGTCTGTATGCTCACAGGTGCGAGCTGTTTAACCGCATCTCCCGCATGTTTTGTTGATTTTACAGGAGAATGCTCAACAAATTTGGTATTGTCAACTGAAAGGCCAAACAAAGGCGATCTTTTGTTAGAATAGGAGGCAGTTGAAGTTCCTAATTTTTTATTACAGGCGTTCAGAATCCTTTTTGGCCCACCAAAAAAGTTTGCCTGCAAGATGGCAAAACATCAAGGATATATCAAGAATATATTTTTTTTTTTCCAGTCTCTGATTAATTGTTAAGACTCACCAAAGAGGAAGGGCATTCTCGTGTATCAGGAAACAGAGAAAGGACAGCATCGTTCAGCCATTTTTCCTGCTCAATTTCAGTAGGTCATCTGGCATAAGACAAATTACAACCTAAATGCAAGCCCTGAGAACCAAAAGGCATGCACCAGATAAAACTAAATCTAGCAGTTACCACATGTTCAAACTACATTACCTGCCAAGAAAAATGGTATGAAGGAATGCTATAATGGAATATTTACATACATACCACACAATTCCTATGTATTTACATATCTAACATCAAAATTTTAATCTTTATACTTTTAAAACTTCATCTATAGTTCTAAACTTAAAAGGTATATTTCAATTTTGTAAAAGTTGGTAATTGTGGTATTTTTTATGCAATATAAATCTTTTGGGTGTTAATAAATGTAAGAAAATGGAAGTTTGGTAGATAAGTAAATACACAAGAATTGTGTGGTGTGAATGTAAATTCCCCTACTATAATTCAACTTCCAACAGGTATTATTCAATGCAGAGAATGCACAAGGAGTGATCAATCATTCCAATAAAATATCCCAGGGAGAATCTCCTTTAGGGAGTGCATGACTATTTGTTGAAGTTGGGCTCAACAGTGGACCCAATCAAAAAATTTTGAGTGAAGTTTTTATTTTGATTGGCTTGAACCTATATTGAGATTTGCTCAACTAAAGAGGATCAAGCCGGGTGACAATTTTGATTGTTGATTTTGAAATTTCAAAAATTTTGGATATTTTAGAAGACTTTTATAAGATTTTGATCGAAGTCAGATTGATCCCTGCTCTAACAAGTTTAATACCGTCGAGAATTTTCAACCAGGGAATTGGGGGAAATCAACTAAGAGTGAAGTTTTGATGACCAGACTTTTGAAGAGCAGCCTTAAAACCTCACTCATTAACTAGAGACAAACAATAGGTTCTAAGACCAAAAAAAAGGGAAGTTGGCCACGCACACCCAAGATCGAAATGGTGGGGCTATCAACGAACAAATAGTGCTCTTGGCCTATAAGAAATATAAGCACACTACCGATGTGCAAAAATAATAGTCAGATGATAAAGATGAAGAGAGAAACAATCTCCAACGGAGTTATCAGAAAAACTCTCTACATTTGGGGGACCACTCACATGAGTTTCATAATTTCTCACTTGTGATCAAATATGACATCAGAGAATAATATATCACCGTGATAGATAAAAATAATACCCTACGATCGATCCAATTACAAAGTGGTTGTTTCACTATTTTGTGGAACTGTGTACCATATTTTTTTCCCCGACTTAAAAAACAAGGTAGATTTAATTTAATCCTGGGACATGACATCCCTAAAGATGTAAGCTTCTCTAGTTAATTTTGTCCTAAATAGAACAAGTCTCAATTAAAATAGAAGTTATTCATTTCTACAAATCTCAATGATAGATTTAAAATTTGTTATTTGGAGTTTGCAAATGGAATGGCTAAAACTTGACACAATTCTTGTTGAAAGCCAATGAACGAGTAGGAAGCTGACATCCCTACAAATCTAACATTGCTAAAAGAAAGAGCAATTAATTTTAATCCTAGGGTCTAACATTCCAAAATAGACAAGCCTTTGTAGTTAATTACATCTTAAAGAAGACAAATCTCGATTAAAACAATGTTATTCATTTTTGCATATCTCAATGATAGATTTCAAAATTGTTATTTGGAGTTTGAAAATGGAATAGCTTAAGCTTTTAACAGTTCTTTCGAAATACAACGAAAGAGCAAGGAGCACCACATATCGGTAGGCCCGGTGATTAATACAGTATATCATATGTTTCAACTTTATACTTTAGAAATTGAAATTGAAATTTTATTTTGAGTAGACAATTTTTAGAAGATTGGGACTTATATTTGACAAAACTGGCCATAGAAAAACCCATAAGATGTTAGTCGTGTTGCAAGTTCAACGAGACTACCTCAGACCCCAAACTAAAGTGAGTTCTACTGATAAAGTAGAGACTCAAACCTACTCTAAAAAAAAAAACGGGACTCGCTAAGTTCACTCCCACCAAGGAGTGACATTCAATCCAACTCTCATGAACTTAAAACCCACCTAAAAAGAGTTGCCATCTAACATCTCTTAATGAGTAAAACCCATGACCACAATCACATGCACATTCATAGTAATATGCTTTTGTAATTTAAAAAGATTCTCTTGGAATAATGTCCATTTTATGACTTGTAACGCCACTTTTCTGACAGTGTCCTCTCTTGTGGGCACTTACCTCAACCAAGTGAAGTGAACATCACCTTTGTCAACTCAAAGCTTGTCTTCCTCATTAGTTTCTCTCTCCATGCACCTATGATGGATGATTTGATTCGATTACCGTTAATGCCGCCAAACAAGCCTCCTTCTTGACTTCCCTTGCACCAATCTTATCGACGTTCAATAATTGCTTCGCTCCCGTTGCCCTTTTCATTCCCTTATACACATGCTTTATAATAATTTGATCGAATGTTTTTTTATTTCTTTTCTTGATGTTAGATTTATATATTTGTATTTTCATATGTATACTTAACCAATTAATTATAAAGATTTGTTATTTAAGAAATACATTACTAAGATATCAGAAATAAACCCAAAGACAGGTCTCCAAAGTATAACTAAAGCGCCAGGAGAAATCAGCTCAAACCTAAAAACTGCATAGCATATCCATAGAAATGAAAACATAAAAACATGCTTCAACTTAGTTATAATTCAATAACTTAAATTGAGGTTTTGCAAAAAGAATAAAACGAAGGGATTCTAGCTATTTGAAAAAGCCAGCTGGCACTTGAATATCATCAGGTTTAGCTCAAGTAAGTTATTCAAACAATAAAAAATTGGAAGATTAACAAGGCAAAGCCTATGACATACTAGTGATTGATACATGGCCTGCTTGTCCTTGACTTCTGTTTTCGGAATATCTGCAGTAGAACTTTGCAAGGATGAGTTCCCTTTGCTATCAAGCTGCTGAAGCTTCTCAAAGACTGCTGCTTCACCAACCTAAGGACTTATAATTAGCATTACAAACATCAGAAGTCAAATCTAAAAAGTGTTAAAAATAAAGTACCTGCCCCAAAAGAAATGAGATAGTTGCTTCCTCCAGCTTCAAGTCTACACCTTCTGATGAAATCAAACACTCGCAAATGATTTTAGCTTTGTCAATCTACAGAATACCGGGGAAAAAAAGATTTACAAAACCACAACTAGCCAGTAAGGCTAAATATAGGATAGTAATTCGGGTAAAATATACCAAATCCATCTGCCTTGTTGAAAAACCAAGAGCTAAATGAGCAATCATCGCCAAATAAAAGCAATCAAAATCAATAACAACTCTCTGGTTTTGAGATTCCAGTAATTTCTTATTCTTCCGAGAAGAAGCCAAGTTTTCCCACGAAAGAAGATCAACTATTTCAGCGGCCATTAACTTATTCAAGGCTTGGCTTAAGAAGCCATGCCAGTCTTGAACACTACAAGAAGTGTCAACATCAAGACCTTGTTTGAGTAACTCACGCAAGGCTGCAATAGCACCTCTTCTCCGATCAGCATTATCAGAGATCTGAGGCAAGTCTAACAGCTCCAAAGTACAAGCTGGAGCAAGCCCTTCTAAGGATTCTTCTATCTGGGAGCAAGCCCAATAAATCAAGCCATTTTGAAGAATATGTTGGTATATGCTCGCATAGATGCATCAACATACTTGCCTGGGATAGCAAAGGCATACTTCCAAGAGAAGCTTTACTCTTTAGAAGATACTGAGCACGAGCCAGAGCTTCAAATCCTTCATACACTTTGTTTTTCTCAAAAGCAGCCTTCGCAATTGCACACTAAAAGAATGAAAATATCACTAACAGACGACGCTTTGAAACAATTTGGACAAATATGAACATATAAAAGCAAAATAAAGATCCTTTCACAGCCATATCTTACTTCAGCTAGAGCCATGGAGAGAAGCACATCGTGAACATATGGCTTAACATCAGAATGTTCTAAAGCCTCCCTGCCAATTCCTAGTACCATTTTTTCTTCTCCTACCTGTAAAGAAATGAGATACAGATATTCAAATAGTTACAGCAATAAGAATACTTTGCTACTTCAGGAATGAGGTGTACGTAAGTGCATAAGCCACGAACCTATCTAGGATATCTAGGGAGGAATGGATGCATGCATTTTTAATTCCAAATTGTAAATATGGTTTTTTGTGATTCAAAACTTTAAATCAGTCAAAATGGAAGTCACCTAAACATTGCCTATAGGCCAAACCTCTTATGTTAAGTCATAATTCATCGTCATCATCATGTATTATCCGAATAGTCTGGATCAACATTATGAATATTGTTCACTCATTCTTATCGAGAACAGCATGAAAAAGTTTTTCAAAATAACTTCTTAACAACTTATCTTTGATTTATCTCTTTTTCCTTATCTTTCATAACAATTTTTATAAACTCGTCTTAAAGAGAGCCGTCTTTTAATGTTTTGGTCACGGAAATGTCGGCCATCTAATGACCGGGTTAGGAGAGTAGATGTTTTAAATTTGACTTATGTTAAGAAATGTAGATGTAGACCTAAAAAGACTCGGCATGTCGTATGAAAAATTAACTTAATTTATTAGAATTAAATGAAAATATGACACAATAGCGAAAAGGATTCAAGTGGCCGACACTATTTAGTGGGATAAATGCATCTTGTCATTGTTGCTCCTGCATATTAGGGAAGCATCTTTTTACCCACTATTGTACATGCCTAAACTAACTTAACTATTTTTCACTATTTTATCTTAATAGGTCCTATTCCTATCATCTCTCTCGTATAAATAATTCTCCATCAAACCTTCTAATTTAGTTTAATTAACTTTCAATTTATTTTGATTTGAAGTTACCTAATTATTGTGAGATAAGCTCCAAAACTAAAGCTTCACTTCATCATCCAACCGCTCGTCCAAAGATAAGTCTGGCTTAAAATAGTCCCGCTATGAGAGATAATAAAATGGGATATTAGGTTAGGGTTAGATGCTTAAACTTAACTAAAGCTCAAACCATTTAGACTTTAAGAGTTTTGCTCATTTTGCAAATAAGGTAGACTTAATTAGGGACTTTTGAATTGACTCCTAGGTATCGTTTTGGGGCCCCTAGAAGGTATTTAGGAAGGGGATTTAGCATGAATGTGGTCATGGAATGGTGAGGAACGAAAACACGCGAATTTGACGACATTTAGTTGAGGATCAGCGTCAATTGGCAGCTGTCCTGACTGAAAAACAGCGAAGAGAGTCATAAAATGGAGTAATGTGATTGCTGAGGAGGCTCATTATTTGTTCCAAGGCAAGCTACAAACACACCAGTTGCAAAAATAAAAGGATATACACTCCAAAGAGCATAAAATAGAGAACAAAATCTCCAAACACAATGACAATAATCAAAAGTCTCCTAAATTAGAAAAAGAAAAATATATAAATAGTTCCTGCTAGAAAGAAACGTCAATTAGAAGAAAAGAAATAGGAAACAAACTTAAAAAAAACAAAAATCTAGGCAAATGCTGGTGACAAGACGATAAACTGACGATTACACAACAAACAGAATCACATGGGTTTGATTCCGCTTGAGGAATCCCACAATCACAGGGTTCACGGTAGCAATTCCGTGAAAAGCTCTGAGTCACTCCTACAGGAATATATCTTTTAATAAGTTGAATTTATTGCCTTAATCAATCATGGCCCAATCAACTATTTTGATTGCCAATACATTCACAGACATGCTTGCATGTTCATATGGCCTATAAGTTTGACAGTCATTGAAGGGTGATAATTTGAAATCATACATAATTATGCATTTAGTACATGTAATTACACATGTACTATAAGTGATTTTTGTCTTAAGGGTGCGACCTCTATAGGATATTATGCTGTGTATTTAATGGAATGTAAAATTGCGTGTATGTCAAGCATAATTACATGCAAAATGTTTTTTGGGCATTTCATTGTTTGTTTATATAGCAATTTCATTTTTTTTTTCATCCCTTTTAAGCCCAGGAAGAGCTCAGAAATCTTGTTCATTCTCCAATTCAATTTAAACAAGTTTATTTAATTCCCTAACTACATTTTGATGACAACAAATTGACTTAGATTTTACAGATCTATCCTTTAGAGTTGGATCTTGTACTTAGTTCGCTTTAAGCCAAACTACTAGCTAGTTAAATAGATATTTCAGTAATAAATTCGCATGACACAAAGGTATCCACAATGAGATCAATGCTTAGCTAAAATCCTCAAGCGATCTAGAAATTCGGCCAACAATAAGATTAAAAAAAAAAAAGGATCCCTTCAAACCAACAGTCAGTGACATCGTGTCAATGATGACGAAACAAGTAAGCATGGAGCCTATTGTATTGGACCTGTACTTAAACCATAATAAGAGTTCTGTCACCACAGCTTCCCTTTAACAGTGCTTTAGTTTCTTCTTTCTACAAGATCCACAAGATTTCATTGGAGGTGTTAGTATAAAGAAGCATTTAGGTAAAATGGGATTAAATTCCACTTGGAAGAGTTAGTGAGCAACAAAAAGTTCATAATGAGTCTCTAGTTACGCGACTAACACAGAAAGAACCATAAACCATGATTAATTATACTTAACCCATGCAAAGTTCCATGTGAGTGTGTAGTTATGAGCCTGTTACTTGTCTGCAGTATGTGGTTGTCGGCCGTTTTATTGTCCAACCTTCACTTTCGTAGTTTGAAAAGGCGATGATTTTGTGATTTTGAAAATAATTTAAATATAAATATAATTTTTTTTAAAGAAGTAACGTTTTTTAATTTTTAAAATAAGTGAGACCAAACGAGTCTCACATTTTCAAATAGTTTAGATGATTTAACACAATACTACAAGCAATACACTTATCCCGAAGAATAAATATATTACTTGTAATAGGGATTTAATCATCTAGACTAAACAATTTGTGACATCCGTTTTGATCTGCGAAATATTTTATAAAAAGGCCAACAAGTTCCCCTATCTAACATAAAAATTAGATAGGGTTTATTTTATCTGGGTTCCTGGTTCCCTATAGAGGCAAGCCCCTATAGTTAATTACATCTTAAATGATCGAAATCACTTAAGATAACTCTCGATTAAGATCAGGTGGTTTTGCTTTCAAGATTTCAAAATTTAGGTTTTCACGATTGGACATAAGAAAGTCAAATGGGAATGACTCAAAATAGGAACAATTATTTAAGGAATCCAAAGGGAAGAAAAGTAGGGGACATCACAGATCCAGGAGAAACCCCAGAGATGTCCCAACTATCATATTGTTCGGCTTTAT